ATTGTCTAAATTTTGTATGAAACGAGATTGTTCAGTGACCCTTATTCCTAGGATGCAATGTATAATTGTAATGGACACCTACAAATTTATAAAGTTTCAACAAAATCTTACAGGTATTACGTGTAATGACCTATCTCCTTGTAAGATTAGAAAAAGAATAAATGAAAATAGTTAAAAGTATTTACGTACGTACTCATAGATGTATACTTGGAAACTTGAACGAGTATTTTCACCGAAAACGAAATACAAAATCATTCCTATTCTCTATCCAAGTATTAAAATTACTAAAGGTAAGAAAACATGAAGACGTGTTAGACGTCTGTCGGACATTTTTTTGCACAAAGCGGCAAACGATTTGCAAGGAACAATTTTCCATAAGAGAGTATCGAATACCAATTTAGGAATTCCTCCTTGACACGTAAGTATATAATTACTGTCACACGAATCTTGTTTCTGTCTATCGTAGAAATGAAAGTAGAAAAAAAAAAAAAGGAAAAAAAAAAAAAAAAAAAAAAAAAGGACAGCAAATAATTTTTTCCTAGAACCAACAACATGCAATCTCGCTAAATCTTCATTGTAATCGATTCTCTCTATTATTATCGATACTCTTACGACAATTCGCATCGACTTTTGTCATGAAAAAGATATTAAAGTAAAGATAAAACAAAAACAAAAAAATAAAATATCTCGTTGAATGAATTTCCTGACTTTATATTTTTTCAATTTTCCAGAACACTAATCTTTGACCAACCAGTTTTTTATTCTCCCACGATAGATCGTCCAAACGTTCAAAAGAATAGTGGGTGGGAGTGATCGGGTGGCAGAGGAACGAAATGAAATGGAAAGCTAGAAAAAGAAAAAAAGAAAAACACAATTTTAGGGGAACGAAAATGAGATTTGGTATTTGGTACTTGCAATTATTTAGGTATATATATATATTAACGTATAATCCTTGACACATCCATCAAATAAGTGAATCAAGTTCTCGAAGTTCTCTGTAAAACTTACAAAATTTTATGTGCGGAATGATAGAAGGATCGATTGGTTTAAAAAAAAAAAATCATTGAATAATAATCAAAGAATAAAATTTAATTGAATCTCTACCAGATACCAGTCGGTGCAATCACGTAAAAAAGAAGAAAACAGGAAGTATGGGATGTATTATGCCACATGATGTTTCTTTTTATTTTTAATTTTTATTTAATAAATAACAGTAGCCTGTCCTAGTTCTAAGAAATAAATGAGAATGGTTTTTTCTCGATAGAAATAGAAACGTGCTCCCAGTTCCAACAACCAACCGGTTGTTACATCCTTTCCTTTTCGTTTTATAATACGAAGTATTGCAATTATTTACTTATCTGGGCCAGATTGAAGATCTCTGCTACACAAGATGTTGTTCAATATAACTTGGCATTGAACGTTACTGTTGTGAGAATCATTTCACGTTATTCCGAGAAGAAAAATCTATCTAAGAATATACGTGTGCAATAATAAAAAAAAATTTGATTATGCATCGAGAGAGAGAAATATTGCGATTCGCAAGAATTTACTAACATTTCATTTTATTTCGTTCCGACAATTTTTCGACGAATTCTGGATATAGTAGATTGTATGATTCATTTTGATCGAATTTTTAAAGTATATATGGGGATTACATGAGTTTATGTCTATATATGTGTGTGTGTGTTATTTATTAACATATAAAAGAGAGAAATAAATATTTTCAATATTAAATATTATTTATTTAAATATATATTATATTTTAAAATCTGCTATCACATATATCGATCAATCCAATATAAACTTCAATATTATCAAATTATCCTTCTAACTATTGAGATATCTCGCGATCCTTTGAAGATGAGATGGTATTTGGATGTAGTCATTAATCTCAGAAGTATCTTTTCGTAGAAAACGTAATACCAGATTAAAGCCAATATTAATCTTGTGATATCTCTTAATATCGTAAAGATATAAACCATACTCATCCTTTCACACTGGAGAATACAGATTACGAAGATAAGTTGTATTAAGATGTAATAAGTAAGACGTGGTGCTTAAGATATAAATTGTGTTTTTATGAGCAATCAAAAGTATCCTAAAGTACAAAAGTTACGAACAAAAAAAGAAAAATAATAAAGTTCAGTTCACGTACTACTAAATCTTGGGATTCATTAGTGATGGTTTTAATGAGTATGCTCTTAATACTCGTTGGTTTGAAGTGATCAATATTTATAAAGTTATTTACTTTTAAAGATTCTTTGTGGTGGTGTGTTAATGTTTTAAATAAATAGTTAGTATTTATATTCAAATATTAGCATGTAATATAAGTGATTAATATTTTGAATAATATAAAAATTGTCATTACTCGTCAAATCAATATATAATATTATATTCTAAATAAATATGTCTGATAGAAATAAAATTTTCTGAACAAAAATACAAATTATGATTAGACGATACAAAATTCGTAATAACAAATAACGATAGTCCAAATGATCTTTTCTGAATTTATCTTCGTCTAATTGCGAGTTCTATGGAAAAAGGTTTACATTGAAAAATTTGCCAATCTGCATGGTTTGTATTTGAAAAAAGATTGCTGTCAATTACAATGATCGCATATATTGAATTGAAAAGCAATAACTCGTTATATAAAAATGAAACAGAAAAGAACAAAAGAAATAGACAAAGAGTTAATAAACGTGATTAATTTAATAATATCGTTTTTGTAAAATAGAAAAGAAACAAAACAAATGATTCCATTTTGATATTTCCTTTTTCATTGGTAAAATGAAAAAGTTTGCCGAACGATTTTCTAAGGTTTATTAAACTCTTTCATTCTTTTCCCACTTTGCTGATGCATATTTTTCGAAGCCATTCCATTTTTATCCTATTCCGAAAGATTCTACAACGATTTAAAGGAGACGAGATCTTAAATCGTAGACAAAGAGAATAGCGTTGAACTTTTGTCGCTAACTTTATGGGTTATATCCGTTCCAATCATAAAGTCAAATCTCGTTTCAAAGATTTTCCGATATTATCTGGGATTCTTCGAAATAAAAGGTGAAAATAAAATTGACACGTTATCGAAAATTCACAAGAGAAAAAAGGAAGAGAATATTTCTAGTGCGATGACAAAATAGCACAATTCGTTTACAATATTTTCTGATTATTATTTGCTAAAACGAACAGAAGCATCAAACTACTAGATGTAGAAGTTGAATCTTTTTTAATTCAACAATTTGTTTGTTTATTCGAAAATTTGTAAAATAAGATGCAGCAGATGATGAGTTAGTAATATCGAATCTTTACAATTTCTATTTAATATTTGCCATCCGTTTTCTTACTTTCGAATGGAAATTATTTTCGAAATGAGAAATATATTTTTAAAAGATTTTCTTCTTTTTTTTTTTTTTTTCTTTTCATGTTTCTTATTAACAGAAATTAAGTTATTCGACGCATAAGTTTTTTTAAAGTATATAGTTTATTGTTTTTCGCAAATATTTTTATTTTATGTCAAAATTACTATATGCATAACACATGATACAATTTCAATTGAAAAATCGAAAAAGGTAAAGACAAAACTTTAAAGTTCAATCGGTCGATAAATTAGATCAGTCGGTAATCATAGCATAGCTAACAAATAATTCAAATGAATTCTATCTTATCAGTCTTCGGATAATTTATTGTTCGTCGATAAATAAATTTTATCGACGGAGACTGATACAAAAGGTTTAAATGTAATTATTTTTAAAAAGAGATTACTATCTTTTTTTCCTAAAAAAAAAAAAAAAGGTTGAAATTGTCTAATACAAGAAGAGAAGCTATTCGTTCTCCTTATAAAGTTTTTCTTTGTTAATTCTCGAGTTAGTAAATCTACAACATCATTATATTAATCCTAATTGACCCGTTTTCATTTGTACGTTTCAAATTTACAAACTCAAGGCTCTTTTCTCAATGTAAGATTATTTTAACGATTCTTAAAGAGTATTTTCTCGAAAATATATCCACCATTATTAAAGATTATTATTATTATTAGAAAAAATGATTATACGGAAATAAAGAACGGCGAATGAAACAATACGTAAGACTTAATGAAAACAAACGTAAGAAATTAAATATTTAGAAAAACAAAATATATATATAATAAAACATTTCGTATCTTACAATATTAAATAAAAAAAAAATCTAACAATAAAGTCCCCATCGAATAATGTAAACAACTGATTGAAATTTCCTTTTTCATCTCTCTGACCATCGGATACAAGAACCATGTAATGGTTTTGGTTCCTTTTTCCCCTAAAACCGTTTCTTTTACTCTCAAATTTCTCTTTATTCTTTGACAGTCCCTTTAAAGAATGCAAAGAATCATTCTAAATTGCTAACAAATAAAGAAAAATATTATATATTAATCTTTCATAATAGAAAAAGATCTAAACAATATGCGAAGATTATTTTATAAATACATAGGATCATTTTTTCGTCTCTTTCCATAAACAATTTTCTTCATTCGTTGTTCTAACACAACATAACGAACAAATAATATTTATTACAAAAATATAATATTACCGATTGATGACACGTTTGCGAAATATTAACGAAAATAAATAAGGAAAAAAAATAATAAAGAGAAGAACTTCGATCTCCGTGAAAAGTTCACTGACGAAAGTTACGAAGTTAAAGTCACACCACTGACGTTATTGTAAAATGTATAAATGTAAACAACATTTAACTTAGTAAAAAAAAAATATATATATATATAGAGTGAATTTAATGACGTTTAAAATCGTGCCCCTCTCTACGTTTCTTAGTGTTTGTAGACACTTTTATATGTTGGTTACGACATAAATGATATGACGGAACCCGACGCTACGGCGATGACGATGAGAAATAGGTAGGAGGGAGAAAATGATGGGAAGAGAAGGACAAAACGAAAAAAGAAGCATGAGGAGGAGGAGGAGGAGGTGAAAAAAAACAGGAAAGCCACTACTAAATCGTATCGGTCGAAACATTACGCCGGCAAACGGCAACGAGACCACCACGTTCCGAGCTTATTTTCACTACAATTTTTCAAACAGAGAACAAGAGAGGAGTTTATCTATGTGCGACGAATTATTTAAGAGAATGAGTGATTCTAGTTGATCTCGAACACAGAAAAAGAACTTTTGGCAAACAGTGCCGAACAAGCAACTAGATTTAACCGATTCTATCTTGCCAGTGTGTGTGATACTTTGCATAGTTATCATCTTTATTCCGATTCATATTCGATTCAATCGTTTTTCCTTCATTTTTTATTTATTTCGTTCTTTTTTTTTATTTTTTTTTTTTAATTCAGATTATTTTTGTCTTTTTTCCTAATTCTATCGTTAGTTAATACAATTTTGAAACGATTCGCGTAAGAAGTATTTCTAACGGTGATAATTTTGTGTTCGTTTGATTAAGTATTCCTTTCTCGTTTTTCATTAATTCTACCTTTTACGCAGTATTCGATATAATTTTCAATTCAATATTTTAATAACGCGAAGATCTTTTTTTCGTCCCCTATTATTAACTTGGTGATAAAATATAAGACGAATAGAAGAAAATGACTTGCAATTTTAATATGAGTAAGTACAATATTATCGTATTTTTTCACTTATACATTTATTTATTCAAATTTTCTATTATTTTCTATAATATTTATTAATATAAACTAACGTCTACTAATCGTACAACGCTCGTAAAATATGAGTAATACATTAAAGTTTATCTTATAAATGATCAAACTTGAAACTTCAATGTCATAAGTTATTGTATTCATAATTATATGCAAAATAAGTTGAGTCATACAAACGTCGATAAAAAAATAACACGGTGAAGTTTACTTTTAAAATCATTATTAGAAAAACATAACAAATATTCGACAATTTGAAAATATCGAAGTTTCAAGATAATATTGTGTTCCGATAAAAATAAACATTATTTTTGTTTTCTTGAAAAATTACGATTCTTATTAGTCGAACTTATTTGTGTTAATAAAAAAAAAAAAAAGAAAAAAGAAAAAAGAAGAAAAAGAAAAAGACGAACCGACGAATATTCTTCCTGATTAGAAATTTCGGGCAGAGTTCAACGAACTCGTTTACTCATAAAGTTAGTGGAATATTTTAGGGAAATATTTTATTCGAAGAAAAAATCGTTAGACATTAGACAGATGTTAAATGGTATCTATAATCGCAATGAATAATGAGTTAAGAGAAATGAAAATGAGAGAAAGAAGAAAAGAAAAGAAAATCAAATAGAATAGAATAGAATGGAATAGAATAGAATGAACATAGAAAAAGACGTAGCTCGAAGGTTTCTGAAGTTGTTTCGAGCGTTAGATAAAATGAGATTATCACGATCTTTTTAAATGCTTGACCCGAATTAACTAACTAACAAACGCGATAATGTAACGACGGAATCCACGCGTTAATTTATTAACTGTGTACGTTTTGTTTTTAAATCTGACGTCAATTTCTATTTCGGCAGTGTGTCTCTTTTCGTTTCGTCACAGCCAAATAAAACGCAAATAGATGCTTGAAAATGTGCACTAGTCCAAGTTCTGGGTGAAGGTTAATTGTACAATAGATTATGTTGAATAAAAGAATTGCACAAATTCTATAATTTTGTCGAATATTATTTTAAATTTCTTTTTTTTTTTTTGAATATGACTTGTTTTATACACGTTGTTTTATACACATAGTTGACAAGTTTTCAACCTAACATAAAAAGTATTTTATTTTTGTTCTCAAACTCACTCTTATAAAAAAACGAAAAATTATTATTGAGGTTCTAAATTTAAATAATAATATAATTATTTTCATTTACAAGTTTATATGGGATATAATACGAAGTAATTCTTTGTTAATATTTTTTTACGCGTAGACGTTTTTCTCGAACCATTATTACCATTTTCTATTCTTTTTAAAATAAACGTTCTGTTCTTGAGTTTAAGAATAATTATATTTAACAGCTTTTACAAGGAAACCTAATATAGACATAATGAAGACACGTAAAATAAAGAAAGATAAAAATATTTAATAATTAACAAAAATTAAATCGTTTAAAAACGCGTTAGTCTTGCGTAATAATTTACTGTTCTAGATAGTTAAAATATAGATACATATATTAAAACGAAAGATAAGACACGCGTGATTTGTTAAATGATCACTAATAATAACTGCATATATATATATATATATATATATTATCATTAAAAAACGAAATGTCAAGATTCACATGGTCGGTTGGTTAACGTCCAAAATATTCATGAATAAGAATAAACCTAAATATTCGGTTTTTCAAGTGTCAACAAACGACCATGTGAATCTTGACAATCTTTAATTCATATATTATATTATTATGAATAATTACATACTTTTCTGTATAATGTATTTGGTACTTTGTCGGTAACATATATAACAAAAGAAATAGACAACTGGATAGATAAAATGCGATTAATTTATGAGTGAAAAGGGTGAAACTATGAATCTCATTGTTAAATCTAATAATATTCTATGTCACGAACTGTATCATCACGCGAGTTAGATCTACGCGTAATACACTTATAATAGATATGCGTGTGTAATAGATTTCCCTTGCGTTGGACTAACACGCGAAACGAGAATGAAATAGGCACGTTGATAACTTCGTTTAACGTTCATGGACATCCGGCTTACTCTCCTCACTCTTCTCGCATTATTAAATGTTTAATAAACCGTTTTCTCATGACGCATAATAAACGTAATACAGATAAGAGGATTCCAATCCTCCTCTTCCTATTCCCTCTCCTCGTTATCATCTTCCTACTTCTTCTCGTGATTAATAAAACGGACCTTTTTTTTTTAAAGCCAATCGATTAGATTTAAACGATCAAGTTTATTCAATTTAAAAAAAAAAGATCTCATCTAATCTTACAATCCCTTATCTAATCCTCCGTAATTCATCGTACGTACGTACGATGCAAATTGTTAAATCGGTTATAATCTAATGCCGATCAATCAAAACCTTTTAAATCGTATTTTTAATCAGAGGAGAAGAACATTCTTGCGTTACGTAGATCGCGCGTTTGCGTAATAAGTAATAACGATTAAAGATTAATTGTTCGAAACTTAGCAACCTTACAGTAGTACAAACGATCTTTTATAATGTACAATGATTTAGTATATATACTTTTTCATAAACTAATATCTTTCGAGATTCTTTTTTTTTTTTTTTATATTTCAATAAAGAGATCCTTGTGTATTACTTCAAAGAACACGATTAACGATCGACAAAGTTATAGGCGATTTATCTACGCTAAAAAATTACAAAAAAAAAAAATAATAATAAATAAGAAACTAATATGTATCATATTATAAGATTTCTTCGAATTTATTTATTCTACTATTAACATATTATAATCCTTTTATTTTGTTTTTTCAAAAGATCAAAGAAAGAGAGACAGTTCGAAGTTCAATGTAGAAAGATGAAAAGGTCATGGAATCTGGATTATTATTTTCGTTTTTGTTGTAACAATAAAAGTTGAATTCTTGGTCGGCTCGTTTTCGGCCTTGATGGACTATAAAAATACAATTTTTCAGAAAAATATGTAAACATGTACATGCATAACATTGCGTATGCACTGTAACATACACGTGTGTGTTAACGCGATTACATTACGTAAAAATTGCTTATAGACTTTGATCTTTGCTAACGCGTGTTTGTCATTAGAGTTTGTCAATGATTTTCTCTATACCCCACCTCAATCCCCTCCTTTCCCCCTCATTATCTTCTATTTCTCACGCCAAGGTAAAGGTACATGTAATTTGCAATAGATCATGCGTTCCGGTAAACAATTAATTAAAAATAATTTAATACTTTGTTTCCTTTTTCAAGAAATATCAAATTATATATTGAAAACAAAAATTAAAACGATTTTTTTGGTATATTACGTGCCTTATTAAAAATTGTGTAACTTCGTAAAAATACTTATGTGTATATTGTTTGTTTTTTATTTTCAATAACGAATCATTCGAATTATCGAATTTTCAGATAGAATAAGCTGTCTCCAAGTACTGAACATTATGGTGATACTTGGTTTCATGTTGAATTATATGCTGCGCGTTAATTTAACGATAGCCATTGTATCGATGGTAATGCCTTATAATAAGTATTCACATTCCAATAATTCGCACGAAATCATTCCAATTGACAATAAAACAATGATAACGGATGACGCAATAAAACGGACAATACAAATTGGTAACGAGGGGACAAATGGGTCGACTTTTATTTCAACTGGACACGTACGTTTTTTTCTTTTTGAATTTTTCTTCTTATCGAATTTTCTCCTTTCCTTTTTTTTTTTTTTTTTTTTACATTATAGATAAAACCTATAGAGACCACAATTGAAAAGGAAAAAAAATACATTTCAAAGATCTATCGATTCCTTTTGTAGGAGGAGCTTGAACAAACCAGGTATCCGTGGAATGAATACGAGGTCAATCTGATTTTAGGAAGTTTCTATTGGGGCTACATCTGCACGGAAATACCTGGAGGTAGAATGGCGGAAATTATTGGGACCAGAAGAGTATTTGGTTATAGTATGCTAGGATCTAGCGCTATTACTCTTTTAACGCCACTTTTCGCGACTTTCGGATATGTTGCCGTTGCAATTTTAAGAATTGCTCTTGGTTTTATGCTGGTAGGTACTCTCCCTCTTTTTTTCTCTCTCTCTCTTTCTCTCTCTCTCTGTTTACAATGATTCAAATTACAAAATCAAATTACAACTATCTACACACGATTATTAAATACTTTCTTTCATATTTCGATTTATATTAGTTTCAATAAATAATAAATGGTTGTTTATATATGCCTATATATATATTCTTTGATACAAATTATTGGATTATTTGATTTTATAATTCAGGGAGCTACTTGGCCTGCAATTCAACCTATGACTGCTCGATGGATTCCACCGAATGAACGTAGCAAATTCGTATCTAATATGATGGGTAAATTTCATGTGTTGTGTTTACATCAATTCAAATATAAAGAAACAGAGAGAGAAAGAGAGAGAGAGAGAGAGAGAGAGAGAGAGAGAGAGAGAGAGAGAGAGAGAAAGAAATATCGAAAGGAAGTACGTAATTGAATTTACATATTTTCTTGTAGCATCCTCGTTGGGTGCAGCGATCACGTTGCCAATTTGCGGTTTCCTCATTGCCTCTCTCGGATGGGAATCTGTTTTCTACGTAACGGGAATGGTCGGATTGACGTGGAGTATCGCGTGGTTCTATTTCGTCTATGATTCACCCTCGCAACACCCACGTATTTCTGTTGAAGAACGAAACTACATCGAAGAATCCATAGGAACGACCTCGTCCACCAAGGTACGTAAAGAGAGAGAGAAAGAGAGAAATAAAAAAAAAAAAACAAAAAAGAAAATAGAAAAAGATGTTTGCGAGTTTAATTAAATCAATCCGAGTCCATCCTAACGAATTGAAAAAGAGCTTCCTTTTCTTAATCGTGCTCTTGTGTTTACACGCGATCGATCTTTCGAATGTTTTAACTTTTAATTTTACGCTTGGCATACTTTGAAATGAAAATTATTTGTGTCTTCTCTTTTTTCCGCACTCTTATCCTATTTAAATTTCTATGTATTTATAGTATTATATATGTGTTATATATATAATATTATAATTTTCTATGAATTATTATCTGTAATTATAATATCGTCAAATTATCTATTTGCCAGTCATACAATATGAATTACTTAACGTATTTTTAACGAACGCAATAAATATAAATCTTGTGTTATTACTATTAATAATATATATTTTGCAATTATTATTAGCATTTTCCAGTACCGTGGAAATCAATTTTTACTTCGTTACCTGTTTGGGCAATTCTGATAACTCACGGATGTAGCGTTTTCGGATATTTCACTGTGGTCAATCAATTACCTACTTACATGAAATATATATTAAATTTTAACATCAAAGAGGTTAGTTATATCAATAATTATAAGTCACAAATTGAAATATAATTAAATGTAACGAAGAATAATATCAGACTTTTCTATTATTCTAATTGTTTTCTATATAGAATGGAATATTGTCTTCGTTGCCTTATCTTGGTAAATACATTTTTGCTTTGACAACCGCGACATTGGCCGATTATTTACGTCGTACTAATAAACTATCGGTTACTGCAATTCGAAAAATTTTCACCACTTTTGGTACGTATTTTTATATTTATTTTAATCTATTTACTTGTTGTTTTTTTTTTGTTCAAAATTATTAACAATTTGTTCAGAAACATTGAAATATATTATACATATGTTTTATGTGATATGTAATATATAATAATATTAGATAATAATATTCAGTTCTAATCTATTAGGTAGTTCGAATGATAATTTCGTGCTTTCAATGGCAAATTAAACAACGAGTTGTTTATGTTTACAATTTAACTAATCAATTTTACGGTTTAACTAATCACGAATAGTTAGTTGAATTTGATAAATTTAATTTCTTAACTATTTCTTACGTTTTTATAAGACACTTAAATACGTTGAAAATAAATAGGATAATAAAATGAAATATTGCCTATTAAATATTATAGAATAAATATGTATATATTAATAATGAAATGTATATATATTTTTCAGCCGTATTGAGTCCAGGACTCCTTATGATAGTTCAAGCATACCTTGGTCGTGATCCTATGACGTCCGTTGCCATTTTTACAGTTGCTTTGACGATAAATGGTGCTGTAACAGCTGGTTATCTTGGCAACGGCCTCGATATTGCGCCAAATTTTTCTGGAACGATTTTTGGTATCGCCAATACACTTAGCTCGTTTGGTGGTTTTCTTAGTAGCTTCATAGTTGGTACAATTACCTATCAGAATCAAACGTATGAACAATGGAGAAAAATATTTTGGATTCTCGCTGGTACTTACTGTACAGGTGCTTTGGCTTTCGCATTCCTTGGCACAGGAAAATTACAAAAATGGAATTATCCGGATATCAAGAGTTACGAAAAAAATAAGACTAATTTAGAAAACAACGGTGACGCTGAAATCACTGAACCATTGAATAATAAAACGCTTTCGTAAAATTAAAGGATTATTCAAATCCGTACATTTCCAAAGAATCTCTAATTATCGACTGACATTAATCGTGAGTATAAACACAGGCTATTTAAAAGTTAAGAAAAAATACCCTTGTATATATACCCACAGTGTATTATCTTCTATTGACACTGAATAATAGTACGTTACGATTTTAAACGAATTCGAACAAATAAAAGTAATGTAATTTTAATAATTTCGAAAAATTGTTAAATAATATGATGAATTATTATAAAAACTTCAAGAATTGTCGTATTTCAATTATATTTCCATATAAATTTATATATGTACAAAATAATGACAAATATACGAAGAGAAATTTTTAAAAATTTAAGAATCATTAGACGAGAAATATTTATCAAGAATGGGATAGATAACACATTTTCATAAATACAAGATAGAATTCTACGAAATAATAGTGAAATAATATTACGAGAATCGTCGACAAGGTGGGCATCTGTTATCGTTGATAGTAGTCCATCGAATGATACGTTATCGACCGAAAACGAAGACTCTACAAAAATATTAGTAAAATCTAAAGAGAAGTGGCGCTGGTATTACCAATTTACGTTTAATACTTATAACCTTTTAACAAAGGAAATTAAGAGAGGAAAAGAGAGAGAGAGAGAGATCTTCAACAAAGCAAGCATCCTTATACTAAATATTTGTAAAAAAAAAATAAGATATTCTTCAAGGTCTATTTTATTTAATTCGTTTGGCGCATCCTCTCGTTTCTCGGGTTCCTGGATTGCGTCTATCCTTTCGTGAACGAATGAGCAGGAGGTGGAGAAGAGAGAAGAGGTTAGAAGAGGAAGAAGACGTGTGGTGTAGTCCTCTGGTAGCACAAGTGCGTCGCGGTGTCCGGCGTAGGGGCGCCCTGCGTAGGGGCGCCCTGCGTAGGGGCGCCATGCGTAGGGGCGCCCTGCGTTGCGGTGGTGCTCGCCGTGACGCGTGGCGCTGCGGCGCTTCACCGATGTGCCAGGAAAGTAGAAATCCGAGGAGTTAAACAGCTCCACCCCGAGTTATTCTGTCAGATGATCATTTCCCGCTCACCGCGATAATTTCTCCCCTCCGCCACCTTCTGCGCAAGCCGTCAAACGCACTGACGCGAGAGACCCAGCGCAGAATCACCACTACCATCCCACGTGACCACCCCACGTGACTCCCCACGTGATCACCCCACGTGACCACCACCACCACTCACGATCCCATTCCTTTCCCCCTCTCTATCGTACGTGACGCGCGAAACTACTCTCCTTCTTTATTTATCCTAACTTTACGTTTAAATATTCATTAAAGTTACATTTTTATACTGATTGTAATAAACCATTTTTTTATTTATATTTTTTTCCATGTATTTCTTCTCTAGCGTATATTAATAATGTATAACATATGAATAGTATTATAATTCAGTCGATTTGTACAAATTTCTAATGTTCGTTTTTATAATTCTATCGATATATAATAGTTTTTGGTATTAGAATGATTTTGAATCTATTACTTCTATTTCTTTTCGAGATAAATTGTTGTAGTTTAATTTAACGTAGAAATAACAAGATAATGAAAATGAAATAAAGAAAGAAATGTATCGAAACGCGGATAGTAGTGCAAGTAATTAGATTGCTGCTCTCTTATAATATCCGCGTTTAATTATTTCATCTTGATCAAGACTCCAGGAGCGTCTCGTTTAATATATATATTTTCTAAATACGTTAATTTACAAGAAATACAATAAACTACCAAGTAATACATATATATTGCGTATATAATTACTTAATAAATTTCTTTTATTTCTTTTTTTTTTGATGATTTCACATATACGTATACTACATAAAAGGCATTTCTTATATTTCTTCCGTTTTTATAAAAAAGAAAACAAAGGAAAGGATACGCGGAAGAGACAAACGAGAAGGACGAGAAGGTATAAGCATCCTGCGTCGTGTCGAGAGACGATTACAGGAATGCCTGGAATTCGTGGACTGCAGTACTGAATTCAATTGTTATGTCGAGATTACGCGGATAGCATGTAGTTAAAGGAGGAATAGTTGGCTCGAGTTTGCCGCGCGGGACCGCCCGCTCGTAGAAACTTTTGCCCGGCTAACAGAAATGCGAGGAATTAAACGTTCACCACTGTTTCTTCTCGCGTACGAGTTCCGTTGCTTCGTCGGATCTCATATTATCCTGTTACCTTGTGATTAACTAAGGTTTAATCAGCTTTACAAGCTAAACTTCTTTTGTCAACATGCACGTGCATGATAATCCGATGCTATCTTTCCAGGGCTAGCACGAGGCTCGATTGTCGGAAATGCTTTTCGTCGATAATATTACGCACCAAAGTTCCCACCAAGCTTCTCTCTCGTGAAAAACGCGTCTACGTATCATCGACAACGAATTGACAAACATTATGTTTTCCTATTCGTCCGATCAGATTCTACCTTGGATCTCACGTGATATCTGTAAGTCTTCTTTAACTTTCTTATCCTTCTGCAATCCTATTATTCAAATTCACCGAATGTTAGACGCAGAGTCGCCTATTTCGCGGACGAGACAATGAAGGTGAAAAGAGATAAAGATCGAGAGAATGGGAAACCGACGTCAAACGTATATACCTACCTACACTTATACTCTTTTCTTTTTTATTGATTTAACTATTCTGCATTAGATCGTCAGGAGGAGGGTTTCGCGTATTTTCTTTTTAGTATTTTTATTAGAATACTCTGCTATATAGATCTGAAATTTTATTTGTCATTTTAAAAGAAGAAGAACAACAAAAAAATACTTCTACTTTTCGAGGGAATACGAAGAAGAATAATCAAAGAGAAACAGAACACACGTATGTAAATGGAAAACTATAGGGTCGCGAGGTATCAGATGGAGATGGGATGTATAAAGAGAAGTAAAACAAGAGGATAGAAAAAAAATATAATCTCAGAGACCGAGGGCTCGAACAAACCTCCTTGTTCGCGTTGCACCCTGATTCTAGAGTTCGCGAATTGATCGCACAATGTTCGCGAACGCGCGGACAAAACCTGCGGAACGTTTTTAACCGTACGCCATTTTATCGGGTTACTTGCGTCTATCCTACGATGACGATGACTATGACGACAACGACAACGACGATTTATCTCAATTTATTTCTTCTCTTCATCTTTTATATTATATATTATCCGATTTCTTGGAAACCCGTAGAGGTGCAAAATATCTTGCGCTGAGTATAGAAAAGAATATAGACATTGTGCAACGAATTAAGTACTACCTGAAGTGTAATTAACTCTGCGGGCGGTTGTCGCCATCGGGAAATTACGGCATTTAATGACGGCTTTACGTGAACGAGTATGATGTAAAAAAAAAAAAAAAAAAAAAAAAAGGATGAAAGAACAAGTTTCGCTTTGAAGTAACGTGAATTTGATGGTGATTATCGCCTACTACTTACGATGTAAGTATTGAAGTAAATACGTAAGTGAGTAAGTAGCCTTTCTTTCCATGGCAACAAAACTCGATTGCTAACGAATTGTGTTTAAATGGGATGGGAAGATTCAAGTCAGATGGATGTTTGAAAACATGACCATGGACCGTAAAGAAAAAATCTCGGAAACTAGAGTCGAGAAGAAGAAGAAGAAGAAGAAGAAGAAGAAAAGAAATTTCTACTCGGTTTATTAAAGGGTTCTCCTAATAACGTGTTTGAGAATAAAAGAAGAAGAAGAAGAAGAAGACACGCATGCACATTCAAAAGTATCCTCGAGTAAGAGAAAGGTGCTGATGGCGGAGAAGAGAAAAGAATGGTCGAAGAAAAATGTCGGAGAGTCTAACACATCGACACAGTATATCTTCTCTCGGCAGCAGTTTACTTATGGCAGCCGCCCCCGATTCATGGGAATATCCTCCGGGCACCGAACAAAACGTTCCTTGCTTCCGAACAGTCCTCTTCTTCTTCTTCGTCTTCATCTTCTTCTTCTTCTTCCTCTTCTTCGTCATCTTCTTCTTCTTCTTCTTCTTCTTCTTCGTCATCATCTTCTTCTTCTTCTTCTTCTTCTTCTTCTTCAATTTCGATTTCGAGACACGAGCATGTAAACGGAGCCTCTTTTCTAGACGGTAATTTCCCGAGAATGCGCCGATAGCCCTTTCTTCGTTCGTGTCGAAAAACGCCGTACCTTTGTACTTTTCCTCTCTCTTTCTTTCTTTTTTTTTTCTTTTTTTTCTTTCATTTTTGTCTCTCTATTTCTGTGATCGATGGAAGATGGTCCAAAAGCAAAAACAATTACTACACGTATTTCCAACTTTTGTTTTATCGAACACACATCGCACTGTTCATTTCTCAAAATATAATGAAATTTCAATTATTTGAAGTCATAGTATATCAATAAAAGAAGAGAAATGTAATTGGTATTGGAGTTGTTTTAATAAAACGATATTTGCAATGTAAGAGTATCATCGGTGCTCGTTAGTGTAGTAAAAAAAAAAAACAAAAAAGGAGAGTGCATTGCCTTTGAGAGATGCAAAATAAAAAAGCAAGAAAGAAAGAAAAGGGAGAAGGGAGAAGGTGAGCAGGTACGTAGAACAGGTATGCGGGTGAGAAACACCCGAGGCTTATCCAGATCCGCCCACGTTTAAGCCGCACACCCGCGTTGCTAGCCGGCACTCTTCCATCAGGACAGGGCCCCTTCGGGCCTTTTTTTGAAAAGAGGGAGAAAGAGAATCGTGGTAAAGTCTCTCGGAACCCTAACAGCTCTTCTTCTTCCTTCCAGGTCTTCTCCACCTGCAGAGAGAAGCACAACTCGTGCACGCGATCCACGACTCGAACACCCCCGCGGGCACACGCCGTCATCGCGCCACCTTTCAGGAAGGAGGAAGACCCCAAGAAAAAGAAGAAGAAGGAGATGAAGAAAAAGAAGAAGATGTTCAAAGTATGGAGAAGATATTTTCTCTTGCTAATGTATGTGTGTGTAAATCAGAGATTGTTAAATAATATTCCGAGTAGATTTAGAATACGAAAAAAATATATTTTTTAATTATCAACACTTCTATAATATCTCTTTTTGTTTATATGCGTTGAGAATCGATTAAATGTAAAAGTTTAAAAAATTGTTGTAAATTTACGAGTAAATTGAGACTCGGAAAGTATGAGGGTTGAAAAGTGCACCTGACGATATGCAACCCAAAATACAAGCGCGTAGTCCGGTGCACTAATTCCGGGTGCAAGAGATTGTTTTATTTTTTTTTATTTTAAAACACACTCTTTGTATTACCTATCGAATGATTTTGTTAATGAGGAAAATTTAACAAAAAAAAAATAGGGTTATCGTTTTATGATAATTGAAATATCAACAGATATATATTGCAGTTAAGTTCGCATAAATGTATGTAAAGAGGAATCAATAAATAAATGGAAATGAATCGTATTAAGATCGATTTGATTTAGTCGTAGTGCATATAGATCCTTCGTGCATTATGTAGGTATCGATGCAATTGGATAGAGGAGGCGGAGATGAACTTATAACGTACGTGGAGCGTGGGATCGCTGGGAGGTATCTTCTCTTCATCTTCTTCGTATTCTTCTTCTCATTCGAGAAGTTCGAACAATCGATGCACGGAGTGTGTTGTATCGTAAGAAGAAAGG